ACTTTATGAAAACTGACATTTTAGGTGTGTAAATGTCACCGCAGCAGTGCAGACGGAGTGCGGTTAGCAGCCGAGGTAATTTGGAAAGAGATAGAGTTCGGGATCCAGGCCTGACCCTTCCCTACCCTATCCCACTTAAGTGGTAATTATTGTAAGTACTGCCCAGGGCTTATCACCTAACAAATCGATTCGTTGATCGGCCGAACTCAAGTCAAAGGCCAAGGCTAGGCTCCTTCGGGCTACCCGATTTCCCCTGAACCTGAGCCCCCCTTCTATCCCTGATTTGGGGAAAGAAATTTAATAATACGCTTTCAAAAATGTTAACTCAGCGCGCGCCAGCGGACAAAATTTGTCACGACACATGCCATACATTTTTTGGCCCCGGTTTGGCTTGGTTTGCTTTTGTTTTTTTCGGTGAAGTTGGAGGAGGTATAGAAATACCTGAACTAGAGATGGGTGCGTGAGAAGGTCGTGAGGAAACTATACATTTTATAAGAACTTTTCTAGGTACTTTTGTAGTATACTTTATAAATTGCACATACGACTAGTTGACAACGTCATATGAAGGATACGTAACAAAATATTTACAAATCAGCGGAATTAAAAAACTTTCTAAAGAAAATAAGTATTTTTTCATTAATTAATGTACTATAATTTCAAAATGTTATATTTAGGAAAAGAAAAAACAATTTTGGTTAATATTTCAGTTGATTCCAGTCCCCTCACGCTGCGATCTCTGTGCAAATGAACTAACTAGCCCCTGTGACGGACCTAAGTCTGTGACGATGACGGTGACAGACAGGCGAGCGGGGCGAGTCCGAACCCAGCTCCCAGCTCAGCTCTCCGAGTTCTGTTCGGTTAGGTTTGGGTTCGGGCCTTGGTTTGGGCAAGCGTTTGATGTTATCTGGCATTCCTGGTGGTCACTTTTCTATCCACAATATCATTTCATTTAAATAGTCTGCCTCATTTTTTCTCCGAGGGTTTTTCGGCTCGGGGTTCTCGTTCGTCGCTTTTACCAATTTTTGTTTTGAAATGAACGTAATTAATTCATTTCGTTTTCATTGTGGCACATTCGCCGCTCTTCAGGCCACGTCGCGTGTTGGTGTCAAGAAATATCAAAACATCACATCAAATAAATGTTGAATACCCCAAGCGAATGCCCCCCTCGACCACACCGCTGGCCCGCCCCTGCTGTGGGCCATAAAACTAACACCTTTTGCAACCTTTTGGCCAAAAAGTTTTCTGTTCTCTTTTGCTTTTCCACCAACATTTATGTTAATTCGAGTTTCCTTCACTTTTGTCAGCTATTTTCATATTTCATATTTTCTGTAAGCGCCAGCTTTGCGTGTGGAAATTCCCACCCCTTCGCGGGGGAGTGGGTGAAATTCCCGAACAAAGTGGTAGATCGTTTAAAAAACAATAAAACACGAACAGCAGCAGAACAGAAACGGAGGAGAACGTCCAGTTGCCAAGCACTAATTAAACTGTTCTACCACAACAAGCTCGGGTCCGCCTCGATGGGAACTTTTCAATTATATTCCGGGGGCCCCATCAAAAGGGCAATAAAAGCAAACAAAATTATCACCGAGCTGAGGTCGTAAAAGCCTTAGTTGGGTGATAATAGGGGATAGATCTTTGGATAGATAGGAATGAAAATCAATGAAAACGGTAGAAGTTTTAAATTATTCAACATTATTAATTAAAAACTAATGATATATCTGGAAAACACTATTAAGATATCGGCTACATGAATATTTTAAGGAAAAGTAAGAGCTTGGTCTAATTCCTTAAGATATTTAAAATGTTTATAGCAGGAAATCCAAGAAAATCATAAAAATCCATCTCTAAATACCAGACCAAAAAAAATAAACCTAGTTCCACTCGAACCTCGCATATTTCGCATACAAACTTTGAGTTTCCTGCGAGTTCTAAATACTTTAACCCTGACATTTGAATGATGGATAAGTTTTTCGTTTCTTTGCTTGGTTTATTTTACTATTTTTTTGCTTTCGAACTGTGGCTAATTTTAGTTTTATCTAGGTGTCATCATAATCGTGTCAAATGTATTTTCGAGATTTCGCACATTGATTGATATTGGTGGCTGAAAAAATAGAAAGTTCTCTACGTGTATTTGTGTATCTTAAACCGATTCCTAGCCAGTGACAAATCCCTGTAAAAATGTCCATTAATCTTAATGGCAAATGGGAGCGAGTTGCTCCTTTCTTCCTGCTCCAACTCCAGATCGCGGTCTGGTTATTGAAAAATGCTGATTAACACATTAGAGAACTCTTTGAATCGCAGACTGGTCAGCGTGCATCCCGGCCGTATATGTGGTTGCGTTTGTGCGTGAATGCCAATATGTCGAATGCTACCATTTATAACCATGATTGCTGATTATGCTGTTTCCCTGCCCGAGAATGGATGACATGACAGATGGACCCAAGCATGTGCGCAGAGCTCGCGGCAAGCATCCAGTATCCAGCGTCGAGCACCGAGTATCCAGCATCCAACGCCCAGGGATTCCAGGGGAGCCGGAGCCACGAGGCAGCGGATCATTGCTCAGTGACAGTTCGGTTGCAGTGAGGCTCAAACGAGAGACTCTTATTTAAATAATCATTTTTTCTGACAGCCAACTTGACTTCCAGTTCGAAATGCCGAGGAGCAGCCCCTGCCCTCCGTCTCATGGCTCCCCCGGTTCCCTGTTGCAAGTTTCATTCTGGATTCGAGCTGCATCTCACGACCGCTGGCTGCACGCTTTAATTGTTTGTTTGACTTGCGGTCGCCCCTGCACCACACGGAGAAAATTAAATATTTATAAATTTATCATAATAAATTTATTATTTTGAGATCCCATTTTTAATTTAAAAATAGATTTTCTAGATACAAGAATTTAAGTTTGGAAAAACCAAAATAAACCACGTTATCGTCGATTGTAATCATTTTAGAAATTGTTTAGGATATCAAAAAATATTTGGAAATATCTTTATGACAGTGCACTCCTGCCACCTCTCAACTCCACCCTTCTCTCCCATCTTAGCGCCTGGTTCCCTTTGCACGCGTCATTCGAGGGGCTATCGGGATCGTATTTGGGTCTCAAGGCGGTTGGGTTTTGGGTGCGGCGCGTGGGGATCTTGGATCTTGGATCGGGGATCTCGAATCTCTGATCGGTTCGGCTGCATTTCGGTGCCCGGGCCTCTGTGGCGTCGTTTAATTGAAAACGATGCATGTAAATGACACTTTTCAGCATTAATAAGCAAATATTTGTATGATTATTGGTGTAGCCAAGGGATTAACGTTTGAACTGTAAGTGGTCGGACGCTCGATGCTCCGATATCGCCGATCAGCGTCAGTTGGGCAACTCGAGTCATGAACAGGTTAAGTGCATTACGAACGGGCCCACAACGAACACAAATTGGTCAACAGGTTTGGGTGGATGGATGGATGGATGGACTTGGTATTGAAAGGTGGGTAGCATTATTAATTTGGAATACAAAGTTAATTCATAAAATAAGAACTTAGAAGGGAATATGAGCTAAAATTAAATTAATTATGTTCTATATAGATAGCTTTTCTAGCTGAAAAAAAAGTTTAACTATCATTTAAGAACTTATTTAAGCAAATTATTAAAATATAGTCAATATTTATAACTGTTTTCTTTAAATATAACACTAAACAACCTGCCTAGGTGACCTCATAAACCTTATATACATCATCTATTAAACTTTTCATACAATTATATTATCGAACTATTAAAAACTATATTAAATCTCAGGGTGAGCCATAAAGATTAAACTTCAATAAATTATTATTTATTCATTGATGTGACCTCAAACTCTACGACAAACACTACTATAAGAATCCACCAATTAAAAGCTTACACTTGTATTTTATGCAATTCATGAACTTTCCATAAAAATACTCGTTTTTGCCTGTCCCGCTGCTTCTTTTGGTTAATCAACATTTCATTTATCATATGAATTTATTATACGTTTTATGAAGTTTTTTTTTTATCAACGCAAATGTATTTTCTTAGCTGGCTAATTCCGAGATACAAAACTCCACTCGGCAATGTGACAAGTGACAACCTGACTGACTGCACAGGCATTGACAAAATTATCTGAAATATGCAAGAAATATGCCAAAGGAGAGTCCAAGAGAACGGCGAAAATTATGAGAGATGGAGTGGGTCCTGGGGATCGGGAGGATCGGGGAGAATCTGGAAGACTGCAGACCGGAGAAGGGAGGTAAGCGAAATCTTTGGCATTTGAAGAGACATTCTTATTTTTAGGTGACATGCCCTCGGTGGGACGTCTCCTTTGAGTTTCTGTCTGAGGAGGCATCAAGTATGTCAGTTGTTATTTTTGCAGTGCTAATTGTTCATAAAGCTGTGGTTACTATTGTTAAAGTTCTATTTTTTCCCATATTATTGTATTTCTTCCCTCAACCTCACATTATTCATATTCGTCTTCTTCTGGTTTCACTGGTTTGCTGATTCGTGTATCTTGGCCTGTCAATCAGTTTTGAAAGTCATCGTTTTACAATTTTTGAAATTTATTTTCTTCTCTTTTTTTATGTCTGTATGTTTTTAAGAGTGTGTATGTTTGTTTGCATATTCCTGCCTGATTAGTTTAATTTATTCTCCTAGCTAATCTGTGATCTATTGAGGGAAACATTAGAGTTGACAATACTGGTTGTCTGCATGTTAAGAAGCTAAAATATGGCCATTAGCCAAATATGTGGTTCCCTAATAAATGGTAATTTATTTGATAATATCTGGCTATAATTAAAAGTGGTGCGAAGGTGTAAATGTTTTGGCTAATACTGCCTTATTTTTTATAAAGCCAAAAAACAATTAGTAAAATTTTGTCTAGCTTTTATATTGATGCAATATATATTCTATTATCCAAATTATCGGAACTTTGGTTAGCTTAAGCAAATAATTGTAAGCTCAAATCTTCTTTTACTGGTATTTTCACTTATTTTTGACTTGACACACTCACCTTGTGGCTTGGGAACATTCCTCTTGAGCTGCATCCACTTGTAGGTGGGAATGCTGCTGGAGTGATTTGGCGATTTTGATTGTGTACTCGCGGGATGTGCGCCATTCGAAACGGAGGCGGTGGAGGAGGACGTGGAGCTACCAGGTGAGATGACACCGCCGCGTTGCTGGCGGGACAAGCCGCCATTAGGCGACACGGAGTTCTGTTGCTGCTGATGCTGTTGCTGCTGCTGTCCCGCTGGCGATTGGTTCTGCGGATGTGGCACCTGCTGCTGCTGATGCGCCGGCTGCTGTTGGTGCTGTTGCTGGAGCTGTGGGTGTTGCTGGTGAGAGTTGGTGGCCAGGTTCGCCAGGTGACCATGCGCCAGGCCGTGATGCATGTGCGCGTGCATCCCTAGCGAGTCCATGGCGTCCAGAGCGTAGCCTCCCGCCAGGTGCTGCTGGTGGTGCCACATCTGAGACTGCGTCGCCTGCTGCATCATGGGATCCTGCTCCTCTAGAAGCAGTCCGGGACCGTAGCTAGCGTGCAGCACCGCGGCGTACTTCTCCTCAATCTGGCCGGCATAGCCGTGCACCGGGGCCTGGGCCTGTGTTTGGGCCGTGGGATACATGCAGTCCAGATTGGTGTACATCATTCCGTTCTCGGAGCTGATGATTGCTGCCTGCTGTTGCGCCTGCTGCTGGGGATTGGTGGCGTTTGCAGCAGTCACAGGTGAGTTGTTTGTGGGCGGTGGTACGGTGGCCACGGCAGCGGTGGCATAGTACGAGTGTACAGAGTCACTTTCGTAGTACGAATCCGCCGGCGAGTGGCTCGTGGGATGGAGTGGAGTACCCGGATTGCCGGCCGCCGACGCACTCGTGGTGATTCCATACTCCGCCGCACTGGGGCTGAACAGATGCGAGTGGGGATAGAGCTGTTGCTGCTGCTGCTGCACCACCTGGTGGTTACCAGTTGGCGGCGGTGTGAGCTGCGCCTGCTGCTGCGGATAGTAGCTCCCGGGTGAGCTGCTCTCGTAGCCATTGTAGGAGAGATGTTGCTGATTCTGGTGGTGCTGCTGCTGTTGCTGGTGCTGCAGTTGCTGCTGGTGTTGCTGCAACTGCTGTTGATGTTGCTGCGGAACAAAGTAGCCGCTGGAGGTCGTAGCGGCCGCCGCTGCGGTGGAGCCATAGCCATCGTAGGCATTGGCATGTGGGTGGTGGTGGTGCGGGTGGTTGCCGTACATGCTGCTTACGTCCATCATATTGTCCCGCCGGAACCGCACTTTTCGGGATCTCGGATCACTTACTGGTTCTCGGGTATTTCACTTCACTTTGCCGCACAGTTTTTGCAATCTCGAATATATCGGAAAGTATTACGCGACGGGGCTCTATATGCTATATCCTTATCTCTCTATAGAACTGCAAACACGACACCCGGTGACGATGACGACGACGACGACGTGCTGCCAGCGCGCTTACCAAGTCGTGACTGATTACTGGCCCGAACCCGATTTCGTTCAGACCATACACCAGTTCCACTCAGGCCACGCCCCCTCCGTTGTGTGTGCTGTGGTCTCGCTTCCACTCGGGGCGCTCAGTCATGGTGGAAAGTAATGGCATCTCTCTTGCTCCCGCCTTATCAGTGGTTCGGTTCGGGGTTAGTCATATATGTGGACTCACTACCGGTTTTTGGCAGTTGCCGTTTCCATTTAGATTTTCACAGAGTTATGTTTTTTTTTTTTGCTATTCGCCATGGCAGGAGCGGACTTTTAGAGTTCAAGATGGGAGATGTGTAATATTTATGGGGTTGTATCTTTAATATAATACATAAGGTATCTAAGATAATAATCTGATGATATTTTAGGAAATATTTTGAAAATTAGCATGCCAAACAATGAACCTTAATTGTGTTAGCCTTTTATAGTAGATGTAAGAGAAATAACTATAATTATTTGGAAAGGCCACAGTTTCTAAGAGTAAAGATATTAAATATACATTTCAAAAAAAAAAATAATGAATGATCTATCTACCAATCTCTTTAAGATGACAATGTTAAATGTGACTATACTATTATTTTGCAAACATATCTTTTAATTAATAGCTGAATAATTAGATCCTGTTGAATTTGTTAGGCTATCTGGGATCCCAGTTCGAGCGGATGACTTAGAAGAAGTATGTTAGAAGGTATAAAAGTATTGATTTAATAGAGAGAAAATTAATAAGGGACAAACCATAATTATGTTTTTTGTTTTGCCAAGCTTGAAATGTGAGTTAAAATTAATTTATTAAAAATAAAAAAATAGCTTGCAAATTTCAAAGCATGTATTCAATTATAATTAAAACAGCGGGCCTGCAGGTGCCATCAAACGACTATCTAGATAGTATTATTCTAAAAAAGATAACATTCCCTTGGAAAACAACAAATTTAATTCCCTAAATTAATTTTATAAAAATTTTCCTGTTGATATTTGCAGGCTACATTGAATATTAGCTAATGCGCATATATAAAAATATAAAACATTGCCTCCAGCCTTAAACATTTTTTAATCTTAATTAAATTCACAAAGATTCTGTTTTGGGCCCGAAACGTTTCCCAGTTAATCCGGCCCTGCCGCCCGCTGATAGTATTAAAAGTTACGCCCCTGCCCATGCTCATGTCGACGTCTTGTTTTAACTGGAAACCCAATGTTGTGTGTTTGTTTTGTGGTTTTGGCACGTTTTAGCACCTCGCACGAAATTCCCAAATGAATTGACGGGCAGGTAAGGGGCGAGGAGTGAGCCCGGGGATGGCCAGCGGGCACTAGGAATGGGTTTAGTGATTGGGATTGGGACTGGAACTCCGACCAGGAGGAGCTGCAAACGGATGCTGACTGTGGCAGCTGTCAATCGTCATTTGCACATATGACAGCTCATCTATGGCAGCACTGTGGAATTTAAATCGTCGTCGACCGACTTCCCCGACCCCGACTCCTGACATTATCTCCGGGTTGCGACTCCGTCTCAGTATATGTCCCCGTCTCTGGACCTGGCTTTGGACTCCGACCCAGACTCTGACTCAGTGGGATGCAATTCGTAGGCGCCCCCTACGAGTTATCCGGCATGTGTGTCTGTCACTTGGCGGAGATAGAGATACAACCGTCAGATATCTTCATGCACCTTTCACGCACAATGCATCATCTTTGGCTGTCTGGAGAAGTGCGTTGTTCCCTTTCCATCCATTGGGTATTTCTCGTTTTTTTGTACAACTTGATTGACATTTTCACAAGTTTTTGTCTTTATACTCGCACGGGGATTTCAGGGGACGAGGCGGAGCGGTGCCACAGGAGTGAACTGAAGTGGCCATTCGTTTCGTCCTTTCGGGTGTTCCTGCCCAACGCTCCAAGGTGATTTGTTATATTTTTCGGACAGCAGCAATTAATAGTAACAGGATGTGTGCGAGTGTCTTTCGACGTACATATATAGATATGTACACAGGCAACTTACCTTGGTCCAATCCCAATCCCAATACCACTCCCAATTCCAAAACTGAAACTGTCCCACATGGCTCAAGCAAACACCGAGTATCCTCGTTGCTACATTGGGACTGGGGTTGGGACACAACCTGACAGTTGCTGGAGAGTTGGGCATACATAGGTAGCACATAAGTGGTATTTCCCTTTTGCCATCATAATGGTTGGTTAGCAAATGGATATGTCTTTTGCTTTCGTAATTTAGGGAGAATTTTATGATTTACAGGAAGCATTATCAAATTTTATAAATTATTATAAGTAGATGTAGATATATAAGAATCATCTATAATCAAAGCTGAGGTCCAGGTATCCAGGAATATATTATATTAACATTCATTAAAATTAAGTTGACTGACAAATATTATAAAATGTATTCCATCCTTTATTAGGCTAATAAAATAACCCAATTAATACGTTTTCCTAATGTCTGATAAGATCAACTTAACTCATACGAGTTGGAAATCAAATAGAAACATTTCCCACCCATAAGTGCATATGTCTAGTCGAGTCCTCGATGCACCTCCAATAATGACTTTCGGGGGATTTGTAAGTCGCGCCATTAATGTCTGCTTAGCGCCGTGGAAATGTCGGAAGTAAGATATATGGGCTAGATGACGTCTCGGGCTGTTCCGAGGGGCGTCGAGTGAGTTACCATCGACCGAAATGGCCGAAAACTGGACGCAAGCTGACGCCAAGTTGATGGGCGCCGCCGCAGTTACAGCTCCAGAAACTCGAGCTGCCGTCTTTCGATTTACGCTGATTCGATTCGATTTTTTTATACAAAGCTTTGGGGTCTCCACACGGCAGCTCCTATCTGTCCGGTGTTTTGTTATCCGCTGTCCGGTGTCTATTGTCCGCCGGTGTCCGAGACGTGACGTGACGAGTAACTGGCGTAATTGGCACTGCACCAAATTGATGGATTGCCCGGCGCCGACTGTCACCGCTCCAAGAACAAAACTTGGCGGTACTTTTCGGGTTTCCTTTGTAATTTTTGTTTTTTTTTGGTAAATCGATATTTGTGCCATTTTTTTTTTTTTTGAATTTATGGTCTTGTGCAGCTTTTGACTCTGGCGTTTTGTTCGCTTCTGTAATGATTAATTAATCGAACCCACTTATCGAGTTCGGCTGAGACGGCGACGGATGCCTGTTGAATGGTGGCGAAGAGCTACGCTAACTGGCCCGTCGCCACTTTAATTGAATATGTAATTGGCCAAGCTCATTACGTTTATGAATACGATTTTAAGACTCCGCCTCCAATTAGTTGCCGAATTCATCACATGTCCGTTTTTGGGCTAATTCCTAAACCCCTTTCGGGGGGATTCCTTTGGGTATTTTCTTGATTGATACCTGTGATTGGCGACGGCCCAAATTTTATTTAGACTTAAAGAAATTCCTCAACCAAAACTCCTTGAGGCGGTTCTTTGAATAATTTTGAATGTGCATATTCATTTTCCTCATACAAAAAACTGTCTTTATTTAATAACATTATTGCATATTAATATTTTCAGATATATACTGAGAATTTAAAAAAATAATTAACTAATTTTAAATTATTTTTGTACTTAACGGCTGGAAGGTGCTAACATTATTGTATATATTTTATTTCTGTTAGCAAAAAAACAAATATTTTAATTATAAAAAGGGAATCAAACTTCGGGAAGCCGAAGTTAAGTTTTGTTTTCTATAGATAGTTTCTATTAGAAATGGGCTAGATCGACTCAACTGTTGATGCTGATAGAAAATATTTACTGGGTAAAAAATAAAATAACAAGAAAGAAAGCTAACTTTGGCCAGCCAAAATTTTTATACCCTTGCAGGTAACAATTAAAATAAATCATAACTAAGCCAAAAATGCATTAATTTCGATTCGGAAAGCAGTTTTGTATTAGCTTTTATTAATTTAAAAAAACTGCATACCAAATTTAAAATTTTAAGAAATCAAAATTTTTGGGCATTCTTGCTAATTTTAATGATGTTACCCCTTATCAAATTTCGCAAAAATGGCCAAAAAATCGATTTCTTCCGGACATGTCTAGAAAGATTCCCCTGTTGATGCTGATCAAGAATATATATGGTTTATAGGGTCGGAAATGATTCCTTGACTTAGAAAAATATTATTTTGTATTATAAAATCAGATTTTTATTAAAAAAACTTCTTGATTTTTTGTATACATTTTTAAATTTAAAATTATCATAACTAGGCCAAAAGAGCATTAATTTTAAATCGGAAAACTGTTCTGTGCAAGATTTTCTACAGTTAATAAATCTGCATACTTCATTTAAAAATTTGGAAAATTCAATTTTTTGTCAAAATCAAAAATTTTAATGATGTAACCCCTTATAAAATTTTGCAAAAATGGCCAAAAAATCAATTTCTTCCTGACATATCTAGAAAGATTCCCCTGTTGATGCTGATCAAGAATATATATACTTTATAGGGTCGGAAATGTCTCCTTCACTGCGTTGCAAATTTCTGACTGAAATTATAATACCCTGCAAGGGTATAAAAATTAACCTGGTGGCTAAATCTAAGATATCTTCATTAGGACATATAATATCCAGGTTTTTTCCAAGTAATTTTTATTCTGATTTTTCTTCTAATATGTAAGATAATACCAAGTTTAACAACTTATTATTTTTCTTTAATTTTAATTATTATTATATTCTTTAGCAAATTATATTGCTACATTTTTATAAAATAAACTTTAATCGATATGTGTATAAAGGACTCTGAAATTCATCAATTAAATTATAAAATCGAGTAAATTTTTCAAGTTTTCTTATATTATTTTACAGAAAACAATAAAAAAATACAACCAGAAAGACATTTAAAATCCTAACTTGTCATTTACATACATTTTGCTTTAATATTTCTTGTAATTCAAATCACTAGAAACAATGTCGACGGACTCGTCAACGGCCTTGACTTCCTAAGAAGCAAAATTATGCAAAAAGTCCTTGACAAACCATAAACTCCCCTGCATAAAGACAAATCCCACAGTTCGAGATTCGTTCATTTTAGAATCGGATAAAGTTAGAGCGGGACGACTCTCTGCACACTCCCATTATCCGCTGAGCAGCAGAAGCGAGCCAATCGCAGCGGACTTCCATAGAACAGCCCCCGGATTCCCAAATATCCCGTCTAAAATAACAGTCTTTCCTTGTTTCCCTTGCCGAACTGGGACTCCTGCAGGAGGCAGCTGCACAGGAGGATGGAAATAATTGCCATGGCACCGGTTTTTATTGTTGATTGGCAGGCCACGGGGAAAAGGTGGCCCAAAGTTGTTGAACAATTTTTGGTAAGAGTAAAACTGGCATGGTAAATTAGTAGTTCACTGAAATATATTAGTTATTAAAGTGTGAGTTAACAATAATTTGAAGAGTAACGTAATCATATTCGCTGTTACAATAATAATTTATTTTGCATTATTTTAAGTGACTGGTATATGGTTCTTTACAGTAGTTAATTAATAATTAAATTGTTAAATTCGTTTGAAGTTAATTACAGCTTTGCCTGAAAGACATTCCCTTTGAATCCTATGTAATTAAAGCAATTATTTTAATTTTATATATTAGATGTTTTTATTCAAAATTAGCTATAGCAGTTTTTCACTGAAGAGATACAAGTTAACTAACTTGGCAGCATACTTTTCGGCGGTTAGCGTCAAATACTCGAACACCACATGTCCAAAAAGGTCTATAGAAAACTTGATTCATATACTCTGCCAATCTAGATCCACTAATATATATTGTATATATTATAATTAATTTTTTTTTAAACAAATAAATGATTTTAAAGTTTAGATCATTTATAAAAGTGGCGACGCCAGCGCACGGCGTTCGTGCTGTGAAGATATAGAAATTAACGATCGTGTCGCTAGAGGGCGTAACCGATCGTAATGTAAAAAATAATTTTAAGTAATAAAAAATTAAAAATTAATATTTAATAATTAATATTTTTTGCATATGATAAGGTATTGTTGCAATCTTATTCAATAAAACATCTACAAGGCGATACAAGTATATTCGTTACCATTATTTAATTCTGACAAACAATATAATCAAACTTATTTTCGACTAAATTATTATTGTTTAATTTGAATTTATTATAATAAGTTTCAGTAATTAATAGTTGAAAGTATTCATTAAAACTTAATCAAATTATTAACCTATTGGCTGTGATACAAGTTTTGAAAGCTTATTTCATTTATACTTCACCTTAATAATTTTAAAATAATTCCATTAGCTGTCAAAAAGTTAAGTGCGCAACTCTATTAATCAGAATTCCTGTCAAGCGTTAACGAATCTTAGTTCGGAATGACAGCGCTAAAAAATTTAAGGAGCTGTAGGCCCAAGCAGCAGCCCAAAAGCTGCCTGAAAACCTGTCGATTGCCTGATAAACTTGTTGGGGCATCGGCAAACTCAACTCCAATTAGGCGGTCTAGAGCGAGACTGGACGGGAGGTCCAGTCGCTCCGATGACCTTGCAGGGACCCAGATCCAGATCCCGAGGCAAATGCAGGCCACTGTGGCATTGGGTCAATCGGCAGCCAGTTCTCTATATAAACAGAGGTCCCAGGCAAAGTGAATTTGTGTAAAGTCAGATATCGACAGGAGCAAACCTTAGCCTTCTTTTACTCGAGAATCGTACTATCATGTTGAGCAAAGTGAGCATTAAAGTGATCCTTTGGCAGGAAATATATTACTGATAACGTGTTATTCTTTACAGATTACACTTTTTGTGACCTTTTTAGCCGTGGCTCAAGCGGGTTTACTGCCCGTGAAATCTGCGGAAAGCGATGCCACCTTTGACCCCCATCCGCGCTACTCCTTCGGCTACGATGTCCAGGACTCGCAGACTGGAGATGTCAAGTCCCAATCGGAGTCCCGGGATGGAGATGTGGTCCAGGGCCAGTATTCCGTGAATGATGCCGATGGCTACAGACGAACCGTGGAGTACACCGCTGACGATGTGCATGGCTTCAATGCGGTGGTGCGGCGAGAGCCACTCTCAAGTGCCGGATTGGTAATAAAGCCGTTGGCAGCATCGGTTACTCCAAAGGTTCAGTTCCAGCAGAAGCCACTGAAGAAGCTACCTGCCCTCAAGCCTCTATCCCAGGCTTCCGCTGTGGTGCATCGATCCTATGCTCCAGTGATACACCATGCTCCCGTGACCCATCATGTGTTGCATCATGCCGCTCCCACACATGCCATTGTCTCGCACCACGTGCCTCTGCTGAAGAGCTCTCTGCATCACGGACACCATCCCCATGCCATTTCCTATGTTTTTTAGGGGCAGCTTTCCGTTAACTATGACTGAAATTCAATAAAGTAAAATTCTAAATAATTATAGTTGGTTTTTTGTATTATAAGTATTTTAACTTCCGCAAAAGAACATTTAAATATAGTTTTTTTTCTAGCAGATATAGCATAAAATGTATTTATTTCAGTCTTAATAACAGCATTACAGAAACTCAATTAAAACTAGCAATAATAATTCCCGAAAGAAACATGTAAGAAGGTAATAAACCCTTGTCACCCTTGTCTGAGATACACGGTACTCGTTGCTTAATTCCATTTGGCATGACAGATCAGCTAGAATGCCTCAAAAGGTGATCAGCAATGACTTCTCTTTGTTGGGTGGTCATTCGGAAGTGCGGTGGCCACCATAAACCAGAGCTTGAAATCCAATTAGCGTTCAACTGGAGCGACAGCGACACAGAAAAAAACGCTTAAGGTCGCGACGAGTTATGGTTAATCGGAATCGAAATGGGTGAGCTTGCAAAGTGCAGAGTCGATTTGAAAAACCGTTGTTATGCATTTGCGCATGCGCTGCATACGATATGGCTGCCATTAGTGCGCGGGCATTTTTCGAAAGCGCCTTAGCGATCATCAATATAGTGGATCGATTTTCGGGATGGGGAACATAGGGGCTACCACGACTGCACGTTCGGGTATGCGACTTCTGAGGCCAATATTAATTCGGCTGCCCGCTCAGGTGCGATTCAATCAAGAAGGCATTATGCTCGCCGCGGCTTTGTCACCGCTCAGCCTTGTCCCCAAGTCTTCCCCCGCTTCTAGTCTTGAGCGTCTCGCATTTTGATATGGTCGGCGCGGTTTTGTGACGCAAGTGCACGCCGCTGACATCGAACGCGGGCGAAGTGCCATCGAGGTGGTATAAAAGCCCCAGTTGGACGCTGTTCAAATCAGTTCAACACCAATTACGGTATCTAGAGCAGTCAATCCAAACCCAAACACCCCAACAATGGCATTCAAAGTAAGGACTAAGTTCTCAAGTGCAAACCAAGTGACAAGTGCAAATACACAGAGGAAAAACGAAATAAATCGAAACAAGATCAACTGAAGTAGATCAAGGACAATATTGAAACAATATTTTGGAAAAATATCCTGTCAACTAGACACTCTTGTGATCAATATGATATTGATATAATTATTCAAACTACTCACATATGGATCCTACTACCCCTCTTCAAGCTATCTGTTTTATTGATGTATTGTAAAGCATATTAATGATTACTAATTTGTTTGCTAATTGCAGTTCACCATCCTTTTCGCCGCCTGCATTGCTGTGGCCAGCGCTGGCATCATTCCCGCCGCCGCTCCCTTGGCCGCCGTTGCCCAGGTGGAGGAGTACGACCCCCATCCTCAGTACACCTACGGCTATGATGTAAAGGATGCCATCTCTGGCGATTCGAAGACCCAGGTGGAGAGCCGCGACGGTGACATTGTCCAGGGCCAGTACTCGCTGAACGACGCTGATGGTTATCGCCGCATCGTGGACTACACCGCCGATCCCATCAATGGATTCAACGCTGTCGTCCGCCGTGAACCTCTGGTGGCTGCCGTTGCTGCTGCCCCCGCTGCCGTGGTTGCCGCCCCCGCTCCAGTTGTCCGTGCCGCTGTCGCCGCTCCCGTTGCCGCCCCAGTTGTCCGTGCTGCCCCTCTGACCGCCGCCTACGCCGCTGCTCCCGCTCCTCTGGCCTACGCCGCTGCCCCAGCTCCTCTGGCCTACGCTGCTGCCCCGGCGCCAATTGTCAAGGCCGCTGCCCCTCTGGTCGCTGCTGGACCTGCCATCGTCAAGACCCAGTTCGCCTCGCCCCTTATCTCGTACGCCTATTAATGACCTCACTAATAGGTGACCACGACCCGAACATTGCCGTTAGTTGTTATTGAATAAAAGGATGTGATCTAATTGAATGGAAATAACAATATTGCTTTTATTTGGGCGTATCTTATAAGGTGCAGGAAATACTATTTGCTTCAAAATTGGATTATTAATTATTACATCGAAAAGTACTGTATATATACTTTAGAATTTTACATAAAAGTTTGTATAAAAAACATGAACTTTGGAAGATTTATAATATTAATTTTTGTATTTTCATATACTTTCTCTTAACAAAGGGTCTGCTTTAAGATAACTTTTGTCTGAGAAAAGTATTTACCTGAACTTAATAAATAAAATAATTAAAAATGTTTGATTTAATAAAATTGACAAATAATTCATGTTTTATAAACACAGAATTAAGGCACCCTACAATTATTATGCTTAACCAGCAAAACCATTCTTATCTTTTACCTTTTGAGTTAATTTATAGCTCCTCAATTGTACCCTTCTATTTTTCTCTTTCATTTAAATTTCACACAATTGATATTCATCAACATCAGCCAGGAAAAACAAGTATCTTGAACATATAATTATTTCTTTGTTTATAAAAACCGAAAATGTAATTCACTTTCACTCTCCCACGACCGTTTTCAAGGTCAGACGAAAAGAAAGAATTTACGGAAAGCGACAACTACTGACAAAATAACACTTACTGTCACAGAAAGACACAATGAAGTTATGTCCGCGTAATGGGACAGCAAAACCGCAGTCCAACACGTCCAAGAACGCACGAAATGTGCGACAAAACCGAAAAGGCAATGCCAGAAGCATTTACAACACACTGGAAAAACATGTAAGACCAATAATAATAATATTGAAAACATTTTGAAAAATGATCAACAAGTTAGTTTAGTGTAAAATATAAGTTTAATTATAATTGAACAGTACTCCCAATCCCAATTCCAATTCCAAGAATCAAACATTCAAATTTATTTATTTGAGTGTAAGGAAAACCCCCCGAAAGCTGTTTACTCATTCACGGAGCTGGTCCAAACGGGGCTTAAGTGCGGCTGTCGTTCAGCCGGTCTGATTTTCAATGCGACACGAGCTTTAATGTAATTCGCCTGGTTAAGTTTATGGGCCTCGCCGCGAGTTGCGCATGCGCACTGGCATTAAAAATCTGAATTGTTGCCGTGGATCTTTGGGGCTGTGTACTTACATGCTAAACATGGGAATGGGAATGGGTAGCGGAGTCCGTTCGCTGCAACGGTAATTAACAATGCCAACTGACTTTGACCTTAACCCTCGCTGTCCGTTGTCCGTTGTCTGTTGTCCGGTGTTTACTTTAAAGTACCTTGGCATATTTGCACTTGTCCGCGTTGGAAAGGCGGCCAGATAAGGAAAACGATTCGGGACCCAATAATGTCGCGTAAATCATTCTCAGGCAGGCCCGAAAAATACAAAAAAAAAAAGACGCAGACTTGGCGAAAGGTTTCTGGCCAAGCCAAAGCTGCAACTTAAGTGACCTTAACTGGTTTCCAAGAGCCAGTGCCGGGCGCATTACATGCATTAAATTCAATAAGCCTTCGACGCAGATGTTTTCATTGAAATGTTCCGATCGATGCGTTTTCGTTCCGATCGGATGTCTGCCTCAATTTTCGTTGATTGGTGTAAAATGGGTCGGACGCGAACGCCTGATCAATTTGGGGTTTTAATGAGTTATTACTGCCAGAAAATTGATTACAAAATGCATATGGCTAAGAGGCCGTAAAGAAGAGCCAAGGCAATGCCAAATAATCACTTCCATTGACGTTTTATTGGGTGGGATTAGGGCAACTCCCTTTCGGCTGCCCACTTACTATAGCTTGTTTTACTCTTAAATTTTTATGCGAAGGCTGAACAGTTTATTACCTGAATGTCTTTATAAGCACAGGATTCTCAACGAACCTTTTAATTACCACCCAATAATAATGTACTTTAGTTTCTATGAGCTTACAAATATTCAACAATTTATTGATCTACAACAGTGGCCACAAATCGGAACAAGATCCACATTTAGTGGTGCTGATGGTAGGCCACTGGCAGTGGGGCAGCAGCAACGGGCACAGCCACGGGAGCCACGGTCTTCACCACAGTCTTCACATGCTCGAGGGGAATGCGGTTGACGACGGCGTTGAATCCGTTGACGGGATCAGAGGTGTACTGAACCACCCTCTTGTAGCCATCGGCATCGATCAGGGAGTACTCGCCATGGACCACGTCGCCATCACGCTCCTCAACCTGGCTCTTGGAGTCACCGGACAGAGAGTCCTGGACATCGTAGGCGTACTTGTACTGGGGATGGGGATCGTACTCCTCGGTCGCCTTGGTCAGGACGGGCTGGGCATGGGCCACAGCCACGGGGGCGTGGGCATAGGCCACCGCAGCAGGGGCTGGGGCGGCGTGGTACACCTGCTGGACAGGAAGGACTCCAGCACTGACGGCCGCAACGAGGGCGAGAACAGCGAAGAACTGGGGAAGAAAGTGGATCAGTTATGGCAAAGGAGGTGGCAATCTCCTGCGGATCCCTCACCTTGAAGGCCATGGCTCTGGGTTTGGAAGGGGGTTTGCTGGTTATCCGTTAACTGCTGCGAAGACAGAGAGGCTGTGGAATGATTTACTCCGGCACGAGCACTGCTTTTTATACCCACTCAAAGGGGCCAAAAGCAAAATGCGAACAACGAATGGAAATTGATTAATTCGCTGCTGGCAAAATCATTTTTGTCACTTTTCATATAGCTTTTTTACACTTTTTTACTATTTAATTTTGCTGGTATTGTTGCTTCGGTATTTACCTTATTAATTTATCGACTGGAAACGAGGCAATTACAACTGCCCACGCCATGGGCACGAGATCCATTTATGGAATCCGCGGACACATGCAAATGTGGTGCGGCTTAGTGTCGTAGGAGAGGCCCTCAGATTTCGGATCTGTGTGTTCCTCCGCGGGCTATTCGCGGATCGGCCGCTTTCACTATTCTGCCTTGAGAGCGATATCATGTTACCGGATCGGTCTTTTGGGTGGGAACTCACAGGGATTAGAGACTACACTGGACTGGAACTGACCTACGCCCATGACTTGTGGTATTTGGAAATGTTTGTTAGGAAGAACTTTGAATGAATGAATGAATTTCTTAATTGTTTTCTTAAAAGGAATAAAAACTAACTTTTGTCTTAGTCCCAAGCAAACTCAGATCGTTTAAACATAACAAATCACATTTTATTATCATAGAAACAAAACAACAGAGAGTGGTCCTCATTCCGGTCGCAGCAGTTTACAAGTTGGCGACGGTGTAGGCAGGGGCGGTGTACCGCAAGGGCGCGGTGTAGGCAGCAGTGCGCAGAACTGGAGCGGGCGCAGCCACCGCCAAAGGAGCAGAGCGGACAAAAGGAGTGGTCAGAGCCAGAGGAGCGGACTTGATCACGGGAGCAGCCACTGCCAGGGGAGCAGAGCGGACGAAGGGCGTGGAAACAGCCAGAGGAGCAGAGCGAACGATGGGAGCTGGGATCGCAACTGCTGGCGCTGGGGCAGCGAGGGCCACGGGGGCGGCAGCCTTGATCAGTGGAGCGGCAACCTTCACCACAGGCTCGGCGGCCACCACGGCCGCAAGCGGTTCACGGCGGACGACGGCGTTGAATCCGTTGACGGGATCGGCGGTGTAGGTAACGGTGCGCTTGAAGCCATCGGCATCGATCAGGGAGTACTCGCCGCGGACCACGTCTCCGTCACGCTCCTCCACATGTCCCTTGTTGTCACCAGAGAGGGAGTCCTGCACGTCGTAGCTGTAGGAGTACTGCGGATGCGGATCCACCTCCTCTAGCTCAACTGTCTTGGCCAGGACGGGAACGGGAGTGGCAGCCACTGCCACCGGGGCAGCGGTTCTCTGTACGGCTCCATGGGCCACGGCGAAGAGAGCCAAAGCGATCACGAGCTGTAGGAATATTCAAGTAAATAAAGTAATTAGTATAAGAACTGGCATTTGCAGGAGTTTCTGATTTAATAACACTTTTTATTGGTTGCACTGGTAATCCTTAGGAGCCTTAATCCTGCGACTAACCTTAAGGGCCATTGTTGGTTAGTTGATTTTGATTAACTGTTGCTGTCTTGGGCTAAAGCCAAACACTGAATGTCTGACCCGGTGTGGGCCATTGGATTTTATATGCGACTTGGCGACATTGATGACACCTAATTGGAATTCATTTTTGGCGCTTCACCTCGAACGGCGCTGGGGGGCTTGTAAAAATAGTCACGCACCCTCTTCGGTTCTGTCCACTTGGAAGACTTCGATTGGAATCCCCAGGTGCACACGATCGATTACACCAGGCCAATTTTAATTACCTAATTCTGAGAAGTGTGGGTGTTATGATTAGACAAAAAAATGCTAAGACCTAATTTATATTTAACATTAGGTTCTTAGCTTACCTATATATTTAAAAAAAAAAACTTGGCCAGAGGTATGCTGTTAGTGATAATAATTTTCCTAGTTATTATATTATAATAAATATAATATCATAAATATTTGCCTTCATAACAAGCCAAAGTATTCCCCTGCCTTTTTTTGATTAAATCCCACTTAAACTACTTACCTATAAATTAATTAACTGTTTCGTGAACCAAAACTGGTTTGAGCCAAACGGTAGAAATGACAGTGCGCACGCTTTTCGTATCTCTTGGATAAATTGCATTTATTTGGATGACAAACCGCAAAGATACAAAGATTGAGCACGGCCTCAATGCTACGCATTTCCCTCTGCACACACGTTTACTTAGCATAAGTGAATTGCACTAATTACGCCAAGAGCGTGGCCAAGCAGCGCAGAGATCGCTCCATCTCCGTATATAAGCGGAGTGCTGGCCCAGTAGCCCTCACAGTTCACTTCGCCTCTCAGCAACCAACAGCAGCAGCAGCTCCACTAACCAAACCAAACAACTCAAAATGGCATTCAAGGTATGCTCCAAGGATACAGATACGGGCCAAGAACCAGCTCCTAATCCGGGTTCCCCTTTCAGTTCATCGCTCTCTTCGCCCTGATCGCCGCCGCCAACGCCGGTGTTCTGCCCGCCGCCCAGGTGTACCACGCCGCTCCCGCTGTGGCCACCTACGCCCACGCACCTGTGGCCGTGGCCCATGCCCAGCCCGTCCTGGCCAAGGCTGCCGAGGAGTACGATCCCCATCCCCAGTACAAGTACGCCTACGATGTCCAGGACTCTCTGTCTGGAGACTCCAAGAGCCAGGTGGAGGAGCGCGACGGAGATGTGGTCCGCGGCGAGTACTCCCTGATCGATGCCGATGGCTACAAGAGGACCGTCCAGTACACCGCCGATCCCATCAACGGATTCAACGCCGTGGTGAACCGTGAGCCCCTTGTCAAGGCCGTTGCCGTTGCTCCCGTTGTGAAGACCGTTGCCGCTGCCCCTGTGGCCCACTATGCCGCCCCCGCTGCCTACACCTCGTACGCTGCCCCAGCTGTCGTGAAGACCGTTGCTCCCGTTGCCCACTACGCTGCCCCAGCCGTGGTCAAGACCGTGGCTCCAGTTGCCCACTACGCTGCCCCCGCTGTGGTCAAGACTGTGGCTCCAGTGGCTCACTATGCCGCCCCTGCCACCTACACCTCGTACGCCGCCCCCGCTGTTGCCTACCACCACTAAGAACTGATCCCCGAAACCCTTTTTGTTATAGTTATACGAATGCCTCCAAAAAATATACACTTATTATTCATATAAAAAGAATGTTTTACTCAAGGATTCAATGGATTTTGAAGCTAGTAACCTAACAGCTCGATTACCCATTTAAATTCAATCAACAATAGTCGGCAACATTGAAATTCCACAACTCCAGTTTCAAAGTCAAATCGAATTTTTTCTTTTAATCATTATTTTTCCGCTCAGCGGTGTTCCCTTATTTACTCCCCCAAAAATTCAATTAATTTCAAGTTTGGAATTTACCCAATCGTATCAAAGAAAAGTAAGTCATAATCGTTTATATGTGTGTCACGGATATAGCTTTGTGTTACAATAGCTCACAAGCTTCTATTGATTTTTTTTTTGTATAGTTCATTGGTTTATAACGGTTATATGTACATATGTATATTGGCCTCATTAACGTTAATGTTTGTTAACAGGTTTCACTTGTTCGGCTTAAATTGCTGTTGATATTCTATAAATTATTTATCTTGTATAATGTGATATAGTTAAGAAAGGATTAACATACTCTGATTACTTGATATTGAGTTCTTCGCTTAAGTCTTTTGTTTTTCTTGGTCTAAACTGATTTAAATATAATTTAGTCTGTTGGAATATAGTTGTTAAATTCATTTTTGTATTACTAATATAACTATATTTTTATTTACGTGATTTATTGATTATTTTATTCGTTTTTTTCTAACATTTTAATCTACTATTACTTTTTAATTCTTTCCAAAGTCGCCTCCTCCTATATGCAATCAAATTTGTTAGTTAACTTCGCCCAGTTATTTCAATAGAGATCCATGCTGGGTACTGACCAGTGTCGAGGCTGTCGATTATTATCCCCGGCAGTGCCAAACAAAGAGCCGCGAAAGGCCAAGAGCTCTGGCAGTGGCGATGTGGTTGCGTTGGACCTTTGTGCGGGAAATGTGGAGCAAATTATTTCTTGCCGGCCAATTGGACATACATACATATTTCGGGCCCGAGTCAGCGCCAGAGTGTCCGTGTGCCAGCAGCAGATATGTCCCAAGTAATTTGACATTCAATTTGTGTGCGACATTAAAATTGCAAAAAGTGCGATTGTTGCTACCGGATATTTTGGCATGCCCGAAAACCGGTCTCGCTGAAATGCGAAAATCGAGCACGAGCACAAATTCGCATTGGATTGCTACCGCTAATCATGACCAATCGGGAAACACTGGCCAAATGCTTAAAATGTAAATCTCACACTTCATAAAATTAATGCCAATTGTTCTCTCATTACGCACTTGGTATTTTTTTTTTCCAAAAACATCAATTGTTAAGCTTACTTAAGTTGGACATTGGAGTGTGTAATCCAGCAGAACACGAGGCGATGCCAAGATAATCCCAATCAGGCTGGCTCTGTGGTCTTGGATGTGGAATTATGCGAGTCATTCAATATTTTGGCATTAATGTTGCCTTGACTTTATAGTTGGCGATCTTTGAAGGTTATTGGTGAAATTTAATTTTATAAATTTGATAAACTTTTACATCATAGAAGAGCTGAAGAAATTTCTGCAAACAAACAATATTTAATGTTGCTCCACCTATACATTTTATAATACAAAATAAATGCTTCTTCAGGATTAAAACATAATTTCTTACATGGTTTTATAGGTAGGTAGTTTATTAGAAATATTTACAGGATGAGTAAGACTAATCAACAGAACTAGGATAATGTCTAAATGAGTTATCGCGATATAGTGGATGCAGAGTTAATACTTTCGCTCGTCAGGTGATCTGTGGCTGGAGGTAACCCCTTACTGGTGGTGGTAGTACTCGTGGCCCTCGTGGGCGGCCTGCGAGTGGGCGGGTGACTCGTAGCTGGCATAGTGGTGCTGCTGGTGATCCTGTTCCTGAGCCGGCTGTTGGACATGCACATGCTCGATCTGGTGCTGCTGGGGCTGCTGCACCTCGTGGTGGGCGGTGTAGGCGGGAGCAGTGTAAGCGGGGGCCACATAAGCTGGAGCTGGAGCGGCATAGGTCTTGATCACGGCAGCGGGGGTGGCGGGGGCATGATGGTACTGAGCGGGAGCAGCGGCCACCACCTTGTGGTGCACATGGGCTAGGGGCTCGCGGTGCACAACGGCATTGAATCCGTTCACAGAGTCAGCCGTGTACTTGACGGTGCGACGGAAGCCATCGGCATCGTCCAGCGAGTACTCGCCCTGGACCACATCCCCATCGCGGGACTCAACCTGGCTCTTGGAGTCCCCGGAGAGAGCGTCCTGGACGTCGTAGGCAAAGTTGTACTTGGGGTGAGGATCGTCGGGGTACACCTCGTGGCCGTGGGGATGGATCTCATGCTGCTTCTGGTAGATCACATGCTGCGGCTGGTGGGCCTGGTAGAGCTGTGGCTGGTGCTCGTGCTGCTCCAGCGGGATGATGCCAGCGGAGGCGGCTGCCAGGCAGCAGGAGACGAGAGCAATCAGCTGGAAAATATCGAATATTTCGTATAAATACAGCCTGTTGCCAGGGGCCGGGTATTACATCAGCCGGGGATTACCTTGAAAGCCATTTGGCGAGCGCTTGAGGTTAGTGGGCAAACTGCGGAGCGAAAGAAGCGCGACTTTGTCCTCCTTCTGTGGAGTACGTGGTTTGAATAATAATTGAACTGCGGCTGCATTCGTATTTATAGACGAAAAATCTCTGGGCCATTGTTTCTCCGCTGGCCTTTCTTTCACTTTTTTTTTCACTTGGCTTTGGCTTACACCAAATCACTTCGATCGTAATTCATTTGCATGCCCCCGCCCCGTGGATCGCTAGATTTACACAAAAAAAAAAAGATTTGCACCCACGAGTCGCACCCATTTCGCTATTGTTGTGTGAATGGGAGACGGACGAACAAGCGGACAAAGCCGTCAAAGTCGTTACAAACAAAAGACTTGGGCGAGCAACTCGATTTGTATCGGGGGTCCGCGCTCCGACGAGGTTTCGGGGGCTACGGGACTTTGTGGTTTTGGGGCACACTCGAGTCATGTAAGTAACCCAATAAATCGCAGCTTGATCGATGAACAGCGCTGCACTTGACACAAACGCACACATTAAAAGGGGGGAAAAAAACTAGAGACCAGAGAAAGACGGCAAGGGACACACCTCCGCTATCCTCCGCTTGGCAAATGACCCAAAAAAGGTGCCCGATCACCTCACATGCATAAATGGACAAGTAATGCTCGAGCTTTCAGGTTGAAGCTTTTTCCCCGCTGCTTTACAGCTATTATTGTGGCCTAGGTAAGTGCTCAATCATGGTCGAAGTCGAAATGGGCAGGAAAGTGACTCAACTCTCGGCCAAGTGATGTAATAAAATATTCGGCGGGGGCTGGTATTGAAAGAATTTCATTTGAAGGTCGTCGTTGAGATAGAGGAAGTTGTAAACGAAATAAATAGAAAATAGAACAGATATTTTAAACTATAGATGCTAGAAATTGTTTTATCTTACTATCCGATCTTTGCTTTATTAGGTTTTTATTGAAATATTTAGAATTAACTAAATAAACTCATTTCAATACCATTTCACATTTTGATAACAAATAATTATAATTAAAATTTTCACGTTTAATGATAATAAGTATTCATTGAATTTAGCTATGCGATAAGAAATCAATATAAATCACAATATTATAAATTATCCTCTGGAAAATACAAAACATATTTAAGAAATCACCCGAAGCTTACTTTTTTATATCAGGGTGCGCCTCAAATGTACACTTTTCTCATCTAAACTAACCAATCGATTTTTAATTATTCCATTGAACCAAGCCAAGTCTCTGCTATCTTGAGAATCGATCCGGGAATCAATGACCGTTTAAGGCCAATTCAATAGATAATTCATTTTCGATTTCAGTTCACTTCAATTAAGTTTAGTTTATTGTATATTTCACTTTCAATCAAACGTTTTAATTAGCAAATCTGTTGCTGGGCAGTATTGTGCGAAAGGCCCCGATCTTATTACCCGGCAATCTAACAATGAGCGCAGAAATTATAAGAACAGTTCAGATCTTGTCTGACGTGCGTCTGGCCGCGAGTCAAACCAGTTCCTGGTCACCGCCATTCAACCACATCATCGTAGGAACATGAATGGGAATAGGAGCTAAATTGGGAAGGGGAAAAGCCGGAAAAGCATATCCGTTAGATAAAAATCTGAGATTTACGCGACGGCAGCCGTAATCCATCTGACCAAGTGATAAATCTTAAAGTCCTATAACTGTGAAACTTTTCTATTAAAATCGGACAATATTTGTAAAATTTGGTGATTAAATAATAAAGTAAAATCAATTAATTTGTAGCACAAGACTTTGCAATAAACAAAAGACTTAAGCGAGCAACTTGTTTCACCAAAATGTCTTAAAATGTTGTGGATAGATAAGCAATTGCTCAATAATGTCTGATGATAAAATGGGAAGTAAAATAGGTTTACTGAAAGATTTTATAGAAATATGCAAATGATATATAGAATTAGAAGAAGGAATTATATAAACCATTGTAATTTTGTAAAGTACTTTGGATGCTTAATTAGGACATCATGTTATAATGACAAATTTACTAATAAATATATAGCTAATATTTTAAACTTCAGTTGATTAATTGTTATTATAAGAACCATTGCAGATCTTGTCTGACGTGCGTCTGGGCGGCTGTAAAACCAGCTCGGGGTCATATATAGATTCCACCACGTCATCGTAGGAATATGAATGGGAATTGAAGCTAAAATTGGATGGGGAAAAGCCGGCAACTCAGACACAATTGCCAACACCAACCGGAAGCCACCTGACCACGTGCTAAAGGCCCGAGTCTAAGAATACCGGAGCTACATCCGTGACATACTTATATAAACATACATACATAGTTCACAGCTATCCGATTATGATTTATTATCCGCTGATAGGATTGGTCAATTTCCAGAGCCGAACCGAATCGTAGCGGGTGTAGCAAATGGAGCACTAAATGGAATGGAATAATTGAAAGAAAAAATTCAATTTGACTTTGGAACTCGAACCTCGGAATTTCAATGTCGCAGCCAAATTCAATTAATTGGCCACACAGCAGCTCGAATCGGGCCCTAATGAACTGAAAATAATTAAATCGAATTTCGAATCTGCCGCTGGCCAAACAGATCCTTACAGGCGGATATCGTGAGCGAATAATATATATACTTTTTATGTGAAAAATATTTGTTTATTTTTAGGGTCGTTCGTAAAACTATAACAATGGGCGAGTTTGGGGAATGGAAATGGCGCTTCTTAGTGGTGGTAGGCAACGGCGGGGGCGGCGTACGAGGTGTACGTGGCAGGGGCGGCATAGTGGGCCACGGGAGCCACAGTCTTGACCACAGCTGGGGCAGCGTAGTGAGCGACAGCTGGAGCGGCGTAGTGGGCAACTGGAGCCACAGTCTTGACCACAGCAGGGGCAGCGTAGTGGGCAACGGGGGCAACGGTCTTCACGACAGCTGGGGCAGCGTACGAGGTGTAGGCAGCGGGGGCAGCATAGTGGGCGACAGGGGCGGCGGCAACGGTCTTCACAACGGGAGCAACGGCGACGGCCTTGACGAGGGGCTCACGGTTCACCACGGCGTTGAATCCGTTGATGGGATCGGCGGTGTACTGGACGGTCCTCTTGTAGCCATCGGCATCGATCAAGGAGTACTCGCCGCGGACCACATCTCCGTCGCGCTCCTCAACCTGTCCCTTGTTGTCGCCGGTCAGCTTGTCGTCGACTCCGTACGAGAAACGGTACTGGGGATGGGGATCGTACTCCTCGGCGGCCTTGACCACGACCTTCTGGGCCACGGCGACGGGTGCGTGGGCGTAGGTGGCCACAGCAGGGGCGGCATGGTACACCTGGGGTGCGGCAATTGGGGCGTAGCCGGCGCTGGCCACGGCGACGAAGGCAAGAGCGAACACGATCTGTGGGTTAGGGAAAATATAGATAAGTTCTTTCTTTTTTACTATATTCTTATAAAATCTAGAAGGATATTCGTTTTAATCTTTCTTAGTCTTATCTAAGATATTGATTGAACTTTCAATTCCCAAAATTCTCTGCTAAGAGGACTTACCTTGAATGCCATTTTGTTGAGATTTGGTTTTGTGGTTTTTGGTTCTTTGCAGAAACGGTGCTGAGGGCTGAATGATGTGGCTTCTGGCCTGGCCGTCGCTTTTATAGCCCTCGCTTGCACTTTCTGCTCAGGCCAGGCAGGTGCTGGCTCTTGGCCTTCTGCATATCATGCTCCGAATTAGCGCGAAGTCACCGCTCTGCGTCGACGTCGGCAGCGACATTGTCCAATGCGAGCTGGCCAAGTGCTGACCAATTATTTAGAAAGGATTCGGCGGATTCGCGCGGGATTTCCCAGCTTCCAGATGCCCACGTACAAATTGGATGTTGTGAAATGATTGCATGGCCAAGAGAGGATGGATCGAGAACGAAGAGATGGGGGATGTCTTCTGACGATTGGGTGGCCTTGACTTCCGCAGATTGCGCAAGCGACGATAAGTGTCTGACATAATGGCAATGGGTCCTTAGCTTAGCCCGGGACTTTGTGGAAATTATTGTATAATTAGGATTAGAGGTTTACGCCGATGGTTAAAGGCATCGGCGGCGGCGTAGAGGTCAAAATGACTCGGCGGCGGCGGCGTAGTAGTCAGAAAGAACCGGCGGCGGCGGCGCGTCAAATAAGGCAAAAAGGCCATTTTAATGAGTTATTTATTTTTTTTTAAGTTTTATAAAGAACAATGACACTGAAGGCCGCGCTGAAGCTGCGCCGATGCCGCACCAGCGGCGCGCCGCGGCGCGCCGTTATTTTCATAATTTGGCGGCGGCGCGTCAAATAAGGCAAAAATCGGCGGCGGCGGCGGCGTGGCGCGGCGGCGTATATGTCTAATTAGGATCGATGTTATGGGAACCTTTATTAAAGGTGATTTTATCCATATGTGGCAGCAAAGGGTGTTGGTCTTTATTAACAAAATAAAGTACCAATAGAATTTCAAAGGAACTTAGTATTTTTATCTATTAAAATGTAAGCACATTCTCTTTAAAAATATTCTACAAGTGACTATATGGTAAATTATTCGACCATATAACAAAAGTTCGTTCAACTTTCTTTCGAAACACTCAGCAGCTTTTCAAAGATACATAACTCTAAGAAGATTACAAAAACCGTTTGAATAATAATCAAAACATATAAGGCATATCGGGTTCTTAACAAGATTATCAGAGCTTAGGCTCAGAATAACATAACCAACCAGAATAAAAGTCAAAAAGGAAACTTCTTAGCGGGTTTGGTAATTTTTATTTGACCATATTATGCAAAGTAATTCACAGAAATAATTAGCCTTAGATAAAGCCTCGCCAAGCCCTTTCCTTTTTTGTGGCGAACCTTTCCCCCGGTGTTCTTTCACTTGACTAAGCATTACCGGCTCCAGAATTCGCGGCCAAAGCCACTCATTCTGCGCACATTTTGCACACCCACAGAGCTTAGCGCCGCGAACAGGAAGTACAAGTTATTGCCCGACAACAATCGCAGTCGAGAAACATTAAACACACTTCGCTGTCACCGCGAAAATAGCGCTGAACCAGAGCAGAGCAGATCTGATCTGGGCAGAGCGGATTTGGGCAGAGCAGAGCTGGGACTTGGTTTACTATATAAGTTGAGGATTGGGCGCAGAAAAGTATCATTCGCCGATCAAGTTCACTTCTGTAAAGAACCAAACAATCAGCACTCCCAGCAAAATGGCATTCAAGGTGAGTTTTCGGGAGCAGGGATCAACTTGGGTCCCCATGGAATCTGAGGCCGAGGAACTGACCTAACCATTCCCTTTCCCCAGTTCGTGTTCGCTCTTGCCTTCGTCGCCGTGGCCAGCGCCGGCTACGCCCCAATTGCCGCACCCCAGGTGTACCATGCCGCCCCTGCTGTGGCCACCTACGCCCACGCCCCCGTCGCCGTGGCCCAGAAGGTCGTGGTCAAGGCCGCCGAGGAGTACGATCCCCATCCCCAGTACCGTTTCTCGTACGGAGTCGACGACAAGCTGACCGGCGACAACAAGGGACAGGTTGAGGAGCGCGACGGAGATGTGGTCCGTGGCGAGTACTCCCTGATCGATGCCGATGGCTACAAGAGGACCGTCCAGTACACCGCCGATCCCATCAACGGATTCAACGCTGTGGTGAACCGTGAGCCCCTCGTCAAGGCCGTCGCCGTTGCTCCCGTTGTTAAGACCGTTGCCGCCGCCCCTGTGGCCCACTATGCCGCCCCCGCTGCCTACACCTCGTACGCTGCCCCAGCTGTCGTGAAGACCGTTGCTCCCGTTGCCCACTACGCCGCCCCTGCTGTGGTCAAGACCGTGGCTCCAGTTGCCCACTATGCCGCTCCAGCTGTCGTGAAGACTGTTGCTCCCGTTGCCCACTACGCCGCTCCCGCTGCCTACACCTCGTACGCCGCCCCGGCCGTCGCTCCTGTTGCCCACTACGCCGCTCCTGCTCACTATGCCGCCCCAGCCGCCACCTACACCTCGTACTCCGCTCCCGCTGTTGCCTACCACCACTAAGGAAAATAGTGGACGAGATCGAAATCGACGTTGTATATAGAATTGTTGGCTTTATTATTACTGTACATTTATTTATTGACAGCACCAATAAAAAAATGCATACGAGTATGTAGACATATCACGAAAAACAAGAGTGTTTTGCGCTGCTTACTCAGAGGTATTCCTTCAAAGGACTCTCAGAGGTCGTTCACATTATCCTTTTGGGCTTGAGTATTATTTATTTGCTTGTTTTCATAACGTGTTTTTTGTTTTCATTTGTTTTTTGTGTGAAAAAGTTCACAGACATCTTAGGAGCTGGCCACGAAAAAGGATTGCTGCAGTCGTAGGGCGATGCAGTTCCTGTGGTGCTTTTGGTGGTGCAGTCTGGACTTTTGTTCAACGATCCTTTAAGGATGCGGCGAGGGCAACGAACTGCGTTGGCCTGCTTGATGATTCCGCTGCCCATGCAGATCCTGATCCTGATTCCGATCCCTCTGTCTGTCTGAAGGGGCTGAAAAATTTCTGAGCTTTGTACCGACGCGTCGGTCATTTCCATTTGAATGCAAAGAGAATCGCCTTTGTTGTTGGTGTTTGTAATATAAAACGGAAATTATGGGGTCATGACTCTACTTGCCGAGTGATAAATGTTCCAGAATCTTGTCAGGGGAGCTGCGAAATAAACGGCAGTTTAATTCTAGTTGCAGGCTCTATTTTCCCACAGCTTGAGTAGGGATTTATGTACGACTAGAGGACGGCACACCTGTTGTTTTTCTCCCTAGAACAGTTCTTAATTCTGCAGGGGCGCCCCAAGGTCAGGCTAAATCCCAGCTAGCCAACTGCTTCCTTCGACTTCGACTTCTCCCTTGTTTCGGAGCCGAAGTCCGACTAATCAAGTGGAAGATTTCTGATTTTGGGTGCTGCTCCTCGTCGATACGCGGCCGAAAACCCTTCTCAACTTCATCATCGTCATTATCATCCAGCGAACAGCCAACAACAATGCGAACTGACAATGCAACCGGACAAAACAAGACAAGAACAGAAAAAGCACAAGCCCAGGAAAAAAACAAAGGGAGCAGGGAAGAAAGCCAGAAACAAACCCGATCAAGTGAGCTAAAGGATCGTCGAACCTCAGCAGGGGCAAACAGGCTTTCGATCCCTGCTCGTTCCAAGTCCCTGCTCTCGTATAAATAGGACCCAATACCTCCTGGTTGCCTCATTCAGTGTTTTGTGTTGAGTCCGAGAGGTTCAGGATCAGGAGCAGCTTGCGATCGCTCCTTGGGGTCAGTCAGGCCGATAAAAGCATCAAAAACTCACCATTTGGATACCGTTCTTCAGGATTCTGCCGGCGACCAGTCCACCAAGTGGCAGACATGTAGAGGTAATTTCATCAGAAAGGGAAATTATCATACAATAGGAGGACCACTTTTATCTTGGATAATTTTTATTGGTTTGCAATTTTGACGACGACTTTTCATAGCAAAATTTGGCAATAAACTTGATTATCGTAGGTGAATTTTCCATGGAATTTTATAAACGAATTTCAATAGTGTCTATATTTTAATACAAAATTAAAGGAATTCTGAACAACGAGCTGAACAGATTTTTTGACTGTTCAGCCTCATTCTAAATCCATAAACCTTTAAAAAAGTTGAATATGTTTAAGCAACGAAGATCCCATTATTATTATTTACTTTCCTTCAAGTATTGTTTATAACTTATCCTCAATAATCCATTCATTATTAATAATATTTTATACTATTTCACAGATTCATCTCTACTGTGGCAGCCTTGCAGCTGCTTACTCAAAATAATGAAAACGAAAACATCAATGATTTTGGTCCAAGCACACACATCGCATCCACCCGCACACTCCAATATGATCTAAAGTACTTGAAATAAAACCAGCATCTAGCTGTTGATTATGACCCACCGGAACCGTTAAAGAACCCTTGGATAGGGCCTAATCAGGGCTCGCACCTGGCCAGAACTGCTATTGGCACTCATCACGAAACATTGAATCGCTGGAAGGCCGCACAACACCGCACATCAGCCCTCCACCAACCATCCATCCATCACCCACCAAACGTCGTCTCGGCCCTTTGGACAAAATTTACATTTGAGTTTAAGTTTAGGTGTAAACAATAAACAAAAAACAACAATAGGCTACCAAAAAAAAAAACGAAAAATCCAACCAAGTGTTTGTTTATTTATTTTTCTTTTGGGTTCTTATCAGGCAGTTGGCATCGAGTTATCTATAATTATTTGGATTTTGGGGACAAAAAATATAAAAGGAGATCTGAAAAGCTAAGGCTGTGATTACAAGTTCATTGAACTCAAGGATAAGAGCTTCTGGAGAATAGAACATTTCTTGTTTACTTCAACAATAATCAAATCAAACTTAAGAATTTAAATTTCTGTTTAGCATATTGATTTCTAGCTTAGAAAGGAGCTTAGGAAAATATTGAATTTAAAGAATACTACTCTGCTTTACATACAAAAGAATATCTCTTGCAGGATTAGGATTAGTTAAAGTTTAATAACAACAATTAGAAATTAAAAAGAATAACTTATTTTTAGACACATCCCGAATGGGAATTTATTCGTCACCCCCCTTGACTTTTACTTAGCTGCGGGCATCTTATAAATAGTTGAACAAATGAACAAAAATATTTCGTTATGATTGCTTACAAGAAAGACCGCAGTGCGAACAATAATTTATGTGTATCAAGGTCAGGCCCGCCAGCAAAGCCTATAACTATGGCTCTGGCTGTGACTGCGACTGTGACTGGGACTGGGACTATGACTGGGGCACCGTATGTGATTTGAGTGCCACCAAGCACCGTCAGCAGATTTTTAGGGCTTACGACTTGGGCTCTCGCACAGGTGCTGCTGCTGATGGCGCGCTGGCTACTGCCAAAATAAGCCATAAAGAAAATGGTAAGTGAACTGGTTTGGTCGGCAAGTTTAATTGGCATTATTCGAGCTCGAGCTCGCCGGCTGGACAGCGTTTACTTCGTATTGTAATTCCCACAAACTATTTTCGGCTTAACCGTTTGTAAATTGCGCTCGCCGATGATTAAGCCAGGCAAGTGTCGGTGCTCGAGTGCCCGGTCGAGTGTTTCCTTCAGAAATTAAGCAAACTAAATTGTAATTAACAGACGTTTTTCAACAGTTGTCCAATAGAGACAATGTCTTCGCTGACGGCCAGCAGCTGAAGTGATTATTTTTATTATTTTCAATACAAATTCGTTTTCGTTTCGTTTCGTCGGAATGTTTTAATTCCGCTCAGCATTGACCTCACACCGGGCACCGCGGAGGCCCTGGTCAGGGGTGTCCGCTGCTAATTAAATTAATCCAACTTGACGGCAACTCCCCTTTCATCCGGTCTAGCCTATCCTTTGGGGAATTCAGCAGAGAGACGAGGCTGCTGCTGCAGACATTTTGCGACATTATTTAGGTTTTAGCCGGCACTCGACATCGACACCAACACTAACAGCCCGGACACCCGAACAGCTCAACCAATTTCCTTCCAGCAAACACTCGGCCCGGTGATCAATCTTAAATTTTCACCGCTTCTGTCAGAAATGTGCGTACTTGACGACATGGGACGACATCGGCATCATGTGGCTCAGTTGTCCTGGCCAGCACCTCGCACCCGAATACCTTAAAACGTTGACAGGCAAAACCCAAAATGCTGGTTGACGAATGAGGCCCGGAGCCCGTACCGTTTCCTCTGGGGAAAGCTGCGAAAATTCGGTCTGCCTGCATCCAAAAAACTCGACGAAATGAAGCATGAATGTCGGCACTTTTCCTAATCAAAAAAGGAAAATTAATAAAACAAACATAATAGAAATGGATAAAGTTTTGAGAAATTTAAATGAGTATTTTGATTGCTAGCCAAGAGGAGGTGTACATCTATCTTTATGTCATTGAAAATTCAAATAGCTGGATCTATTCTTCTTTCTTTCCCTAGAATATAAATGGTAAAAATATAGGCTATTTGATTTCATGCTTTTTACGATAACTTTAACTTTTAAATATATTTTTCTCTTTTTTTCCTCAATTGTTTGTTTTAGGGCTATGTAATCTTTTATTCGGCAAATTTTAAAAAGCAACGGGAACCGCTTTAAGGTCCCTTTTCAAGCGATTGCCATCCCAACCCGAATCCCATCCATCATCGATTGTCAATAAACCGATGTCTGCGCATTGCACATTTTGTTGCCGCCTAAATGGGAGATTAAGGAAGTTGGAAGGTTCAAGATGCGGACTCAATTGTTATTTCATACTCATATCTTAATTAGTTTTTATTCTTTCGCCTTACAAAGATATCTAAGCCGATATTTATTATCATATTTATAATATATATTTGTTTAATTTTTATGCGAAAATGTAGAGCAACATACAAACAGGACAAACATTGAAATAATTGAAAGGTCTTAAGATTCTAAATCAAAGTTCTTTGTAGAGAAATTGCACTTGAATCAGGGGAGGGATCCAAATTTTGATTTCAAGCTTTATTTTAGTTTTAATGACAGTGTATCCTTACGTTTTGATTTAAGCTACATCAGATATTTACAAAACATATTTATATATAATTATATATTTACTGATTAGGACTTGTGTGAAAGTTGTTGAATTTCTCTAACTATATACAATTTGTGTTAGTTTGTCTTTTATTTCTGAATGGAATTTTCGAGAGAATTTCACTTCGACTTGGAGCCAAAACAAAACGTGGACATTCAAGATTTATTTAGCCTAGTTAAGGTGCTAGCCGCGGAATAGAACTCTTGCTTGGGGTTAGCTCCAGCTTAGTATTTACAGATATGTGCTACGGACAAAGTGCTTACGAGGCTACAACACCGAAGAGAATTACAAAACTCACGCACACGGGGGAGAATTAGACTAAGGAAATATGTACACGGCCCTCTGGCTGACTGGCTTCGCCTCCGGCTTCCTACATGAACTAACTGAGTTGGTAGTACTCCGGGGCAAAGTCGTTGGCCAGGTTGCTCAGGAAATTAAAGTCCGACGAGCTGTTCGAGTTCTCCAGTCCACCGATCGCAGCTCCTGCAGCGTTGGCTCCATTATTGCTAAAGCCCTGACCCTGGCCACCAGGTCCTACTCCGTTTAGGGCGAATCCGTGGATGTGCGATGGCGGCGGCGGAGGTGGTCCCACCCCAACTCCAACTCCAACTCCCACTGCCCCCGGAACCCCCACAGCTGCCTGGGCTGCTGCCGCCGGGTTGTGGTGGGCATGGATGTGGGCGTGCGCCTGCGCCTGCACCTGCACATGGTGGTGGGGGTGGTGGCCATGCGAGTGGGTGGCAGGGCCAGGGGGTTGTTGACCCGCCTCATAGTAGCCAGACCCGCTTCCGCCGCCTCCGAAACTGTTGTAGCCCTCGCAGTTCTCCATTTGCAGGCCCAGAGCACTATACGTCTCCCCAGCGCCCAGGTGATGCATGTGCCTGTGGAAGAGAGATGGGAGAGTGTTGGGGTGAGAGCTACTACTACTAACAATTTTGTTTAATTGAGTTTATAATACAAGCCTTATATTCTACCGCATGGATCCGGAGGCTATGCTTAATTTTATTTATGTTTTTTATTATTTAAAAATTTTCTTTAACTTCGATTTTTAGCTAATAACTAACTCAAAGCTCTGTATTCTCAAACCAAGCTTAATCTATGTGGTTTATGTGTTTGCTATTTTAGCTGTAACACCAACCATGCCTCTTTACTTACTGTTGGTGATTAATTGCGGCTTGTTGGTGTTGCTGGTGCTGCTGTTGTTGTTGGAACACCACCGCTTGGTGTTGGTGAGCCTGCGCCTGTTGTTGAAAGCTCATATTGTCGTAGTACGAGCCGTTGTTGAAGTTGCTCGGCCCGTTGACAGGTGGCGCTTCAAAGTCAGCCACATGGTGCTGCTGATGGTGTTGCTGCTGCTGGTGGTTCAAGTACGCGCTGCCGCCGTTGGTGTCATTGTAGTTGTAGTAGAACTGCTGCTCGTGCTGTTGTTGTTGTTGACTATTTTGGTGGAAACTGGCTGCGTTTGGTTTGGGACTCAGATACTCGCCGTGCAGGGCCTGCTGCTTATGGGGGTTGTGATGCGGCGATGCGGCGAATTCAATATCGTATTTGCCGTAGTAGTCCTGCGGCTGTTGCTGCTGCTGGGGATGCAGTTGCTGCTGTTGTTGCTGTTGCTGCTGCTGCTGCATCTGCTGCTGATGCTTGGGACTAGGATAGTAGCCGGGGAAGTACCCACTGGCTGGGCCACCACCGCCACCGTTTCCCCCGTTGCTATCGGTCAGCGGAGTGGGCGTGGCAATGGCATTGGCACCGCTCTGAAAACGCTTCTTGCTGCCCGCTTTGCTAATAGGTGCACTTCCTCCGCCACCAACGATGACGGCAGCATCCGAGTCTCGCCGAAAGCTGACCAGACTGCTGGGCGTGGAGTTCTCATAGCCAAAGGGAGAGGCCTTCGACGAGGTGGACACCGCCTCCTTCTTGATGACCTACCAAGGCGTTAGGAATAGGATATTTAGAATCAACTGGAATATTTTATTTCATTTTTTTTGGTTGTCATCTCACCTGTCCGTCGTCTTTCTTCTTCACCTTGATGGGGCTGCTTTCCTCGATGTCCTCGTCCAAACTGACACTAGATGCCACGCTGGAATCGGCGCTGATCACATTCGAGGCGGATACGGTGGTGCTGCCCAGCAGGTTCGAGGAGATGCCCGTTTCCAGGGATGAGTTGGGCGTTACTACAAGTACAATCCATAAGAATCGAATATATATTTATATAGTATTCCAGACTTACGACTTCCAGCGCTGGGATTATTGTTGGTGGCGCTCGGCGTATTATTGTTGTGTCCGCGGGAATTGGACGTGGAATCGGGGATATCATCGGAGGGCAGTTCGCAGCCTTGACACGATTTCTTCGAATTGGAGTCTGCAATTCGCGGGAAGGTAGAAAAGATAAAAGCGAATCAGTAGGTATATATAGCCACGAATATTGATGATTTGTTTTCGTAAGTGGAGGATTGAGACGGGGTCCACGGAGAGTCCCAGTCGAGAACCCAAGGCGAAACTCTCACGCGAAAGGGGTTAGCACGTCGAGAGCCGCCCTGCCAAAAGTGGTTCCATCCCATCCACTGACAATGATTGATAAGCTACACCATCTCTTACTTCAGCGTAAAAGCCTCGAAACGAAGCCATGCAAAGCCGAAAAAGTAAAAGTGGAACAACTTGTTAGTAAACTCCAAGAGTGAGATTAATTTTTGGTACAGTTTTCTTTGGTTTTCAGTCCTTTTAGGTCGTATGAAATACAGGAAGTATCTGAGCAAGGATATTATTTTGTGTTTAGTTATACTGTATATTTTCTTACTTAATTATAATTAATGAAATTATGGTTTAAATATTTGCTTTACTTACTACTATCGGACTGATCATCGTCACCTTTGAGGCTATCCTTGTTGTCCTCGTCGTCGGTCTTCGAGAGCGTTTGCCTCTTGTGCTTCATGCGGCGGTTTTGGAACCAAACCTTTACCTGCAACCAAGATGGTATTAGTTCGACTTCCGTCAAGGTGTGTGCAATTAAAAGTGGGAAAATGGAGTGGGGGGAGCGAGCGACCAGGGGCACTTGCCGCACACCGCTGTCAGCCCGGGCAACCGGCAATTTGTCAGCGGAATAATGGAATTTTTCACCATCAAACCGTCAGCCGTGTGCGAATGCAGCGGAATAAATTGCATTGCAGAACAACACTCACCTGTCGCTCGGTCAGGTCCAGGCTGGCTGCTATTTCGATTCTCCTTGGGCGGCATAAATATTTATTGAAATGGAATTCCTTCTCCAGCTCCAGCAGCTGGGTGTTGGTGTATGCGGTGCGCAGTCGTCGGGGCAGGCCGTTTTCTGGAACGAATTCAGCTGCAATTGAGAAATTGCATTTTGTTTGTTTGAGACTTGCGGAGTGAATGTGAATTTTCTTTATTGTTCTTCGAGGGGTTTCGCCCTCGAACGTGTCCTTGTGTGGGCGGGGCCCTGGGACACAACTCGACATATTGCATTCGCTGTGGCACTGGAGTACTCTTTAAGGATTCCACCTCTCAATCTGCGCCAGCAATCAATCTATCAGCTCGTCAGCGGGCATAACTAATTCAGCGAGATTCGCCCAACTACAGAGGCAAACTTTTAGATACTGCTCGTTCAGTATCTACCAAAAGTGCAGCTGATGCCGGGCAGCAAGTTCCGTGTTTATTCGGATATAACTTCCAACCTCCTGAAGTTCTGCCGCAGCGTTTTTCCTACGCCGCTGAGACGCGACACTCGCAGCTCGAGCGTTAAGTAATTAACAAAAATCTAATCAATCAATCAGTGGAGAGAGACGTGCCCACAGCGCGGCTCTCAAGCATGTAACATAGTTCGGCTACCGAACAGAAGCCCCAGCCAGCAGCTTCATTGGGAAATTGCTTCTAGAGGCAGTTGTGGAAAAACTTAATTTGAATAACAAACAGAAAATTATTTCCATTAATATGAAGCGAAAATACAAATTAAAAGGGAAAATGTGTTTGTTTTTTACTTGAACTATTCTTCTATATTTTTTCTGTTCGTTTAGACACAGACTTTCCCATTTATTTTTCAATTTTAAGAAGCTACGAAGCTTATTTAAATAATACAAAACATGACGTTAAGTATCCCAAACTTCTCTTTTGAGACTCAAACAAGTTCTAATGATTGAGATCAGCAAAAGTTGTTTATGCTCCAACGACCAGGGCCATAAACTTTCCCAAAATAAATTTCCCCAAATAAAAATCGCATTGAGTAGTAAAGAAATGCGCATATCATTTTAGGAAACTGAACATTTCGCTACCTTTCTGCCACCTTATTTGCATTGATGCGATTGCAAAATATTTTTGTATATTTTTTCTTCGCCCGCTTGCCGTTTTTGGCAACAAACACGAAATTTCCAGCTGAACGACCTGCGTAAACAGGGTCTCAATGGCGAAAGGAAAAGGATCCTGGTGGGGCAGAAGGATGCGGCATGGGGCGGCAGGAGCCAGACATAGACACTGATTGAATTACAGATGCGAGCTCGAGTTCCTTCATCAATACTCGCAGAGCGGATGCCATAAACACCACCTGGTGGGGCACACACACACACACTCCCGGGGAGTTCCAAAAGCAGCGGCGGAGGCAGAGGTTGAGGCCATTTCCCAGCCCCAAGTCGCATGTACTTGTGCGAAAAGTGCCCAGATACAGATACGGAGCGAAAGCATAAATTTCGCACAAAAGTTGCACCCGCAAACTGTTTACGAGCGAAGCCAGCGGCAGCCAACGAAAACTGAAAAGTAAAGTGCACAAAAGCAGAAAATATGATTTCCTTTTTGGCGACGACGAGCAAAAAGATAATTTTCTAAACCCGAACGTGGAGGGCGTGGCGGATGGCGGCGGATGGCAAGGGCGACAGCGGGAGTGGGAAGATTTCAAAGCAGCCAAGTTGAGTGCAGTTTCTGCAGCCTGGTCAAAATGGAATCCAACCCGTTCCAGCCGCAGTCCCTCCGCCCAGCTTGCCAAATGACAGCTGCCTGGCTGTCCTGGGTCCTTTCTAGGTGGCTTGGAAATTACAAAATGAATTTTGTTTTGTCACGGCCTCGGGGGGGAATGGAATTGGAAATGTCATCAGCATGGATGAAATGCCGGAAAAGTCGAAATGGAAACTTATCAGCAAACTACGAGCAAAGGATACTTTGCAGCAGCAGTCCTTGGATTAGGCAACGTGAATGGGAGAGAAATTGTTTCTGGCCGGGAATGGGTGTGGGCATTTCTGAGGCCTCAACTTAAATATTCGAGATCATCACTTGGTTATTACTTGCTCGTAAATCTTGCAGTTATTTTCGGTGTGAGGTGTGCAAATAAAATTAATTTCAAAGAAAAGGAAACGCTCCCGATGATTTACAGCCCTTGGCATACACTTATTAACTGCTTCAACAGCATCATTTACATGTTAACACTTAAGCGCACTCGTTGTCCACTAACAGGACCTTTCTTTCGCCCCTTCTCCGGCTGCAGGTCAGAATTTATGTTTCTATTTCGGCCAGGACTCACACACACACAAGGGAGAGAGGCGGAACATTTAACGCATTTGCCGCACTTTTGGGCTGAAATTAAAATGAGCGTAAATTTTGCAACAATTGCACAAAAGGCCAGAGGTAGCCAGGAAGCGTAAAAAACGAATATTATAATAAGGACACCGAGAGAAAGGTGCAACTAATGTTAAATAATAAATTTGTAAATAAATAAATATTTTATTTTTGGTATTTAAAGCTCTTTAAAACTTGCATATATTTAAATATATGTTAATATTTAAATGTAATTAATTTGATTTAAAAATTTTAATGTTTTCCAGTGTTTTTCCAAGTATGGAACCCTACAAACCTCCCCATCTAAATCATCCGCTCCCCACTCACAAGCCGAGGAATTTGCAGAATGAATTGTACACTCCTCGTGGCTGTTTGCCTAGCGCTAACTACTCGTACATACTTACACAAGTAGAGGGAAAGGGGAACCATTTTTTGGGCTCGACCATCTCGACCACTTGCACATGACCGCAGTCCATAAGGATGCACATTAAGGACATTTGCGGCCGGTCAACAAGGTGGATAGAGCCCGGGCCAGAGCCCGAAACCTAACTCGAACCCGAACTCGAACCCGGACACGGGACTGACCAAAGGTGGTCACTGGCCACTGGCAAAAAATGACCTCAATTTATCTTGTAGGTTTTTGTTTTTTTTCTGGTTGTCTCTAGTCAGGGAAACGGAGAACATGGAACTTTTGCTGCCTTGACTTGGCCTTAAATTATGTGAGCTCTCTGCGGTTGAGCGACAACGAGCTGGCCGAAAACCTTTAAGGCCGATGAGCTCGAGTATCTGCAAGTCCCAAGGCGGATTCAATCAAAGGGGAGTTACAATAAAAAACTGGGAGACAATGGAGCAGATTGCTCGGTAGCTGGAAACGCCAAATGCTGATGCGCGATGCAGTAGAAATTCTCATTCGGATACAGATACAGATACTGGAGGAGCGGCAGCAACAGCTACGGATGCAGATACAGATACAAATACAAATGTATCTATAGCCGCTGGTGTGGGCCGACGAATGCGCAAAGAGCAGAACCATTAATCATTCCGGCCAAAGGAAGACAACAGCCAACAGACATCTGACGACGACGTCGTCTTTGGAGCCATGGAAAAAGTCAATTTCTCATGAAAACATTTTGTATCTGCATCCACTTGATATGCATTCAAACTAAGCCAGCTCCAACGCCACATATATCTCTGGATATATAATATATACTATATTGTATGGCCCAAGTACACAAACTCCACAGATATCAAAGCCAAGACAAAGACCACGCCGAGTGTCTTCAATCATTTAATTGTGTCCTGATTGACAGTTATGCGAAAAGTATAACAACATCCTGAATGGCTGAGTCCTTTCCCCAGGATTAGTTTTAATTAGCCGGCCGGAAAAGGGTTGAAGGGAGGGTGAGCTTGTTGGGATGTGGGCGGTGGCCAGCGGGGGGAGATCAGACCGCAGGGATCCCAAGCCACCACATCGGTGGCCAGACAAACATTTCCGCTTTCTTTTCACTTTGCCCAACTTTACTTTAATGCCATTACCAACCACCGACCGAGGCAGCCACAGTCGAAAGATAAATTAGAGAAATATATTTAATGACTTTTCATGACCAGCAAATGTCAACAATACGAAACATTTACACAAACAGGGAAAACAAATTCAACAAAACTAAACCCTCAGGATTGTTTATCAGGATAGGAGGCGAACGGAGAGAGAGAGAGAGCGCCGTGTTTGGCCCTGCTGGAGGTGTGAAAATTTTTGATTAATGTTTCAATATTTTAGGGAATATATTTTTGTCCAAGATGAGAGAAGATAGCGCTGAGATCAGACAATTTCTAGCTCTTTAGGTTGAGTTCGCTGGCTAATAGAAATGTGGGTAGCCTTTTGTACATATAATTTGTATAGTTTTGTTTATAAATTTAACTTGAGATAACACAACAAAGGTGTTTAATAATAAATGAGTATATTTAAACTACGAATTATTTTACCCTTACTAGGAAAACTTTATATCGGTATTTTATTCAGTAAAAAAAATATTTTTAAAATCGTAGAGCTATGCTAATTTGTCAAAAATAAATTCAAGAAATAACAGAACTGAGCAAAGCAAGCATTCAACTCAAATTTTAATATTTATATTGTTTTTGCTGACACGTTTTCCCTTATTTTTGTAACTCTTATCAAAATGTCATTAGGCTAAAGAGGCAAGCCAAAGAAAATCGAAATTGAAAACAATGAAGAAAATTTCCAGGCTTTTTAAAAGTGTTTCATGTCTGTTTTGTTATTTTCCTCCAATGATTTATACAGAATTTCTCTCGCAATTTATATTTTTACCAAATTGAATGGCATAGATGAAAGATGGCACCCTGGGAAAAGCAAGGGGGAGTTAAGTTAAATACTTTAAAGCGGTTCAAATTGAAAAACTTTCAACATGGCCCAGCGGTTTGTAAATATTTACGATATTTGTTTTATATATACAGACAGGCATTGTGTGTGGTCTTTGAATATAAAAGTTAGACAGAGAGAGCGTCAGAGTGGAAAAAATGAAAAGATATTTCTCGGTTGGCATGGAAAAATGAAAGCTGTTTGCCTGAAACTTTTTCCTTTTCCCAACGCTTAAGCCAGGTTGCCACACCCCCAGCACTCTCTCTCTCACTCTCCAGTGCTCCAGATCCCCATCCCACATCCCTGGTGGCTGTCATTTTGGCCTGGTGCGCCGCTCTGCTCCTGCTCAACGCTCCTGTCACAGCTTCCTCTTCTTCGGCCGGGCTCGAAATATGAAATCCATCAGGGAT